TTGACGTTTTTGAAATGCCCTTCAAATAGCACTGAGTGTTGGGATCATCCGATTTGAGGCATGGCTGATTATTTTCTATATCTTTTCCGCAATCAGAGAAAACAACAGAGAAAGGAAACAAATTGGAACGGGATTTACAGCTACGACCCAGAATCGCTGCCTCGTCGAGATACTCTTCAACTTGCACCTGTCGTCTGAATAAGTAAGTTTTCCACGTCAATTAGTTCCTCCTGTGTCAACTCTTTGGAATTCGAAGCAGGCTTGCTTCCACTCACTTTCTATAAAACAATGGTTTTATTTTTCTGAATTATGAAATCATTAGATGTTATAAAGATAATTAGTAATTGTATAAAGAGAGAGAGAAGGACTAGTAATTTCCAATTAATTCCACTTTCTTATTTGCTTATCCTTGAGAGATACGCGTATTTCGTCTACAATGTGCAGACTTCTTCAGTGTCTTGTACTAAAACAGTATTAGTATTGTATCGCAGTGATCGACGTCTCCAATGTATCGCCACCTGCAGCTGCAAGCAAGCAGCAGCAAACGACATAAGTATAATAGAATAGTTTTTTCGATTGCCTTGCTATTGTATAGCAAAGTTGCCTTGTGGCAGTGTGCTCTTCTTAATAGGTAGGGGCATTTTTGCAATTAGTAAAAAGTTAATTTTTTTTACATTTTTTTTTTGATAATTTTTTTGTATGGTTGTTTGCACACCGGGAAACAAAATATTAACAACTAGTAGTTTAGTAAATAAATTGGGGAAGGTTATTTTTAAGTTTTTTTTTTCATTTTTAAGCGGTTGTGCACCGCTTTTGCGGAACACTTATGGCGTCTTCGGATGCCATGTCTTCGAAAGGACCATGGGTTGTCTTTTTTCAGCCCAAAAATAAACCTTAGAAAACTCTTGACATTACGAGAGATTTGCTGCGAAAGTATCCGGGAACCTTGGTACACAAGGAAAGATTCAACAAACTGCGAGTAGAAGCACCGACTTATGATGTGACAAATAAAATTGCTGAACAAGAGCTTTTTAGTGTTGAGTATAACATCTACATCCTTTCGCGAGATGTGGAGATAGAAGGCGTGGTCTCCGACGCGAGTCTGACTGTCGAGGACTTGAAACGTGCCTCGGGAAGTTTTAAAAACTCCACATTCGCTACCGCGCTAGTGAAGATACTGGATGTAAGGCAACTGCATTCAGCATCTTTGCTAGACGGTAAAAAAGTTTATCGGCATTCAGACTCGTTTCGGGTGACTTTCACAGGTTCAGTTCTCCCAAACTTTGTTAAAATTTATGGTGCTTTTTTTCCGGTGCGGCTGTTTATATTATAAGCTGTGATATTGCCGCTCGGAATAACAAGCTATCAAAACTCACCAGCTGCAAATCTCACCAATGTTAGGTGAGATTGAGTTTCATGATTTTTGCTTTACACCCGAACGCAACCGAAACTTTCATAACGGCCGGCAGAAGCCACTTCGTGTCTGCCATCGGTGAAGAGAAAAAAAAACAGATAGCATTTTTATATCTTCTCTTTCTAAGAAAACGTGGTGCACCGGAATTATGTTTGCGTCAACTCATCTCTCAGCTTCAACTTTACACGTTGTGAATAGTGTGACAATATCAAAAGAGTTTATAAAATCAATATCAAGAATTATATTGACAGTACATGAGAGCGGAAAATATATCAATTTGCTAATGATTATGCCATAACTGGCTGTCATAACGACTTTTTTTTTATAATTATTGTAGCACTGCAAAAACTGTTTTATTCACCGTGATGATCCTGATAGGTTTTTGATATTTGAATAGCAGGGGAAATGGATGTAATGTCGGCCTAAATGCCCCTAATTTGGGCCCATACATAAATTCAGCAATCGACTAAATTTTCAATAGCGACCAAAAATAGCCATTATTACCGTCCCAATGACGCGTTCATTCAGATAAAATTGATAAATAGCAGATTTTTAGCGATGGGCCCAATCTTAGATCCATAGGCCAACATTAGAGCCATTTCCCCTACTAGTTTTTTTTTTTTTTTTAAGTTGACTAGTCTTCATTGATGATTGATTGATAAACAAAAATACAACTTTGAAGTGTTTTTGAAACAAGCCTGGAGCTAGTAATGCTGAAAATCATGATAGCATCATAACTCAAACTCTGCAATAAACTCGCTAGTTGTTTTAAAATTGGTCATTCTTCAGTGAAGAAGTTTAATTCATGTAATTGAATCATATTTGGCTAGCCGATCACAGTATGTTGAATTTAATAACATACAATCCAAGTACGTACATGTTCTGAGTGGGGTTCCTCAGGGATCAATCCTGGGACCCCTACTTTTTTCTATGTTCATCAATGATATGCCCAACGTTTTATTGAATTGTAAATTTCACTTATATGCAGATGACTGTCAACTATGCATCTCTGGCAAATTGAATAATATTTCTGTATTGAACTATTGAATAGTGAAATAGAAAAAATCTTAAAATGGTGTGGCACTAATGGTCTTATTTTGAACAGGGCCAAAAGCACAAACTAATATTTTTAGATCAAAACGAACTGGTATTCAGGATATTCCATTAGTTAAAGTAGGTGGTGGTATCATTATGTAATCTGAAACAATTAAAAATCTTGGTATTGTAATGGATTGCAACCTAAACTGGAATGCTCAAGTCAATGCTGCGTGCAGCAAAGTTTATTGTACGCTTCACTCCCTAGTTTTGTTACGCCTCACGCCACGCCACGCCTCAACATATCAGACTTCAGCTGGCTAGATCCTTGATCGTTCCGTTATTTTTGTGCGGGGATATTCTCTTTAGCTTAACTTCTAAGACAAATACAAAGAAATTAAACTTGGTATTTAATGCCGTTACCAGATACGTGTACGACCTACGAAAATACGATCACATTTCTAACTTTTCTAATTTATTACTCGGCTACGATTTCGTCAACTACATGAAACTTAGAATGTGCATTCAAACTTTTAAAATCTTAAATGAAAGTCCGATACATCTTCGAAACTTCTTTATTAACTCACAATCTTCTAGGTCAAGTGTTTTAATTATTCCAAGATGCTCTACACATTTTTAAAGTGAATCGATTATGGAATGAGCTACCGATGGAATGCAAGACAGCAAGAAGTTTAACAACATTCAAAAACGTATGCAGCAACTACATCTTCAGTTAGGTTAATAGGTACATCGGTAGTGTAATAGTAGCATATACTCTGAACATCATTAGTAGATAACTTGTGTTATTATTCTTGTATTATATAAATAAATAATTAAAATAACATTTCGGGTTTGTTAGTGTATGAGGATGCTTTGTTGGTTGTTCATTAACTCTTGATCGCTTGGAATACATATGAATATTTTAGGTGGACAGCAAGGCGAACTACGAAGTGGACGCCTAAGATTTCTCACATTTATACCACTGAGAAGCAACTGCCAACGCTCGAGAGAATCTATATCGGTAACTGTAACCAGTTCGATTTTGTTGCTAATCTGGCTAAAATGTTATATTTAATTGTCTTAACATAAATCGTCCAGTTCAAACCATTGTAGGGATAAGAGGTGGCTCCATCATCATCATCATCATGATTATCCTCATCATCATCATCAACAACATGTCAGCCAAAAACAGAACTGTTTTTTAAATAAAGTCATGTCCTGCATGGCATTAACAGATAGGACAATAAAAGGAGAAAAACATTGCTACAGCTTGTTGTTATTATCCTTTTCACTAGATCCCATATGTGCTCGCTAGCAGCATCCAACGGCAAAAATTGAGTGGAAGAGAGGAAGCTTAAATTACTACAATTTGCTGAACCATTTGTAAGGGATTAACGAGTGCCACAATATTGCCAGTGCCCTCAGCCACTTTTAGTCAACCAGGTCGAAAGTTAAACGAGAAGCAGAAGATCCGCCGCTGCGAGAAGTCATGTGAGTAGTATGCAAAAGTGCGCAATGTCAACAATGTATGCTTATTCTGAATCCTTTGGCCAGAAGTGATAATGTTGTAATTTTTGGGCTAGGACCACCGATTGAATTTCAATTTTAACTTGAAAATAACATGCCTTAAAATGAGCTTCATAACAATCTTTTTATTAGCAGCAACTCGAAACTCACACCTTGATAAGCGTCTGCTGACCCATCGGTGTTCGACTTAATCAGTCAGCAGTTTTCCAAAAAATAGGGTTAACTACCTCATCTCCAACCTATTTAGCACAACCCGCACTTAGTCTTTCTTAGTCTAGCGCAGTTTAGCACCAAATGGAATGTTATTATTACTGATGGCTTTCAAATTTATTTACCTTTCCGTACGTACCTACGGATTCTAAACTCGGCCTTACGCATTGAAACACCATTGAAACGCCAATGAATTCACTTCGGCCTATCGGGAGAAGATAAAACATGATTCTGTCGGAGCACTTCTTTCGTTTTTGGGAATAATGGGTGCAAATATTCATATCACGCGTTCTCATTGACTTCGTTCGGTAGCTTAACTCTGAAATCATGGATTTATTTGAAGTTTTCTGCTCGATAGGCCCAAAATGGGCGATTAGGCCGAAGTAGTTCTCTACCCTACTTAGATAAGGTATAAATTTTGCAATTTCATTCTTGTCATCCCAAAACAGTTCAAATTTCTGCATTATCATTGGTCATATCTTCAATGATTGTACCACTGTAAGCGTAGATTGTCTCGTATGCGAGCACCATTGGCAGATGTGCGGCAGAAAAAACATACTAACTTGCATGTGTGTACAAACAAAACAACAATCATCGCACTGCGCACGTTGTCTCGTTGACCGTATTCAACCTTTTTTCAAGTAGTCGCTTACGATGTACAGCCACTAACACAGTGCTATGCGTCAGTTTCATACCTAGTGTGCTAGACCAAAACCAGTCCACACGGTAACCGCTGGCAAACCGGAACGGTACGGCGAACAAACCGGTCGGTGTTTTGTTACGTTGCGCTTAAATTCAAATTGTCTATTTTAAAATGATTCTTCTACTGCTAATCGCTGCCGTGACCTTGGTGGTGCTGTTCATCAAGCAACGGTTCAACTACTGGAAAGTGCGAGGAGTACCGTACGCGAATCCCACCTTCCCCCTCGGGAACCTGTGGGGAACTGGTACGAAACAACACCTGTCGGAAGTCTTGGAAGACCTGTACTTCAAACTGAAGGGAAATGCACTGTTCGGAGGAATCTACTTCTTCATCAACCCCGTGGTTCTGGCACTGGACCTTGACTTCATCAAAACCATTCTGGTGAAGGACTTTAACTCCTTTCACGATCGGTCCATTTACTTCAACGAAAAGGATGATCCGCTTACAGCTCACCTCTTCACCATGGAAGGCATCAAGTGGAAAAACATGCGCGTCAAACTAACGCCCACGTTTACGTCGGGTAAGATGAAAATGATGCTTCCGATTGTTCGGGACTGTGCCGATGAATTGGAGCGATGTATCGTGAAGGAGACTGCTGGTGGTGGTGAGATTGAGTTGAAAGATATTCTCGCACGCTTCACGACGGATGTAATTGGGAATTGTGCGTTTGGACTGGAGTGTAACAGTTTGCGTGATCCCAATGCCGAGTTTCGCACCATGGGAAGAGATGTATTTGACTTGCGTGGTCTTGGATTCGTGAAGCTTCTTTTGACTCAGCAGTTTAGGACGCTATCACGTGCGCTTGGAGCCGTGACGCTAACTCCAAGTGTTTCGAAGTTCTTTTTGAAAACCGTCTCGGACAATATTGAGTACAGAGAGAAGAACAAAATCGAACGGAATGATTTCATGGATTTGATGATAAAGCTGAAAAACGGACAAGCTTTGGAACAGGGCAGCACGGATCAGCAGTTGGGCACGCTATCCGTTAAGGAAGTGGCTGCTCAGGCGTTCGTTTTCTTCTTTGCTGGGTTTGAAACCTCCTCGACACTGATGTCGTTCTGTTTGTATGAACTTGCCCTGAATCAAAATCTCCAGGACAAAGCCAGGAAGGATGTCCTCGACACTATTAGCAAGCATGGATCACTTTCCTATGAAGCAGTTCATGAGATGAAATACTTGGAAAAGTGCATTTACGGTAGGATTATGCTCTACATTCATCTTCACACTTTTTTTTTTCAAAATTGTTAAATCTTTCAGAGGGCCTTCGGAAATACCCACCTGCATCGAACATTTTCCGTACGGCAACTCAGGACTATAATGTGCCCGGGACGTCGCTGACCATTGAGAAGGGTACGTCGGTCATGATTCCCACACTCGCCATCCACCACGATCCGGAATTTTATCCGGACCCTATGAAGTTCGACCCGGATCGATTCAACTCGGACCAGGTGGCAGCACGCCATCCGTTTGCGTTCCTCGCGTTCGGAGAGGGTCCTCGTATTTGCATTGGGTTGCGCTTCGGGCTGATGCAGGCTCGCATTGGATTGGCGACTTTGCTGAAGAATTTTCACTTTAAGTTGGGTACGCAGATGACGGGTCCTCCGAAACTTGAGCCCTCCAGTGCAATTTTGATGATCAAGGGTGGACTTTGGATGAAGGTGGAGAAGATTGGTGCTTAGATTGGTGGAGTTGTTACGATGATGCTGCCTGTTATTGGGTCTTATATGAGATTTATATTCATAAGTTTCAATTTATATTTATTTTTTAATACCTATTTCCTTCAAATAAATACTAGATCTATAGAATAAGCCACATTTGTTAACAAATTACGTTTAACAGCTGTTCATCGATGTGTGTTGTTGTTTACTTACTACTCAAACATTCTGCGTGTCTAAAGTGCTATTTTTAGGGACATCAGCGGGACATTTTTCCGAAAAAGTGCGGACAAATCCTGCATTAATTGACATCAACATGAGGGCTTAACTGATACAAACACCTTGGTAGAAGACACTATTGTCTAACGTTTCAATTTCAGGTAGTTCAATGCATCTTTCCTGCTGAATTCCCATTCTGTACTATTGCACACTCGTCTTATGTTAATGTTGAGCTGTTGCAAAAGTGGACTACAGTCAATGTCCGAACGCATGAGATCAGCGATAAATACAGCCTTAGCGACGTTACGGTGAACACTGAGAAGTGATAGGTTCAACAAGTTACAGACATCGACTTTTGTCATTAGGAAGGCTTACAGGGTCTCTCCAGGGTAACCAACGAAGAGTAAATCGTACAAATCTTCTCTAAATACACTCAAGACGATTCGCAGAATTGTTGTGAAACGACGCTCAAACTACAGAACAGTATTCCAGTGTCGAACGGACTAGTGAACAATATAGCGTTTTCAAGTGCGAAATGTAAGAGCAATCTTTTGCAATGCGAAAAAAAAAGCCAAGCTGAGAAGATGCTTTATCGTCGACATATGGTGCATGCTCCTTGAAATTTAGTTGACAATCTAAGTCTCTGACTGTAGTCCCCCGATTCAGTGTCTGAGCATGAAGTCTGTATATAAACTAGGTGGTTGAAGTTTTTCTTCAGAAACTGATGATAGAACATTTTGAAGCATTCATTACCATCCTATTCTTGTGATACCGAGTAGCAAAAACGTCCAGATGTTGTTGAAGGAAAACTGAATCACAACGATCCTTCACGACAAAATACTATACAGTTTGAAATCATCCGCATAAGATAGCGTCAAACACCTGATTGAAAAGTGACTGTCATTCAAATACAACAGAAACACAAACTAGCCAAGATGGCTACCTTTGGGGTACACCAGAAGAAGCAGGAAACGACTGTGAGATACGGTCACCTATTTTCACTGACATTTGACGACCGGTGCGGTAAGAACGAAGCCAATTATGAAGTGGACCATGGAAGCCCAATCAACTTGTTCGCCTTTTCAAGTTCGCGAATTATAAAATATGTGTATCGCACGAGTTTTGATGCAGTTGACCTCTTCTGCATAAATCCATTTTGTTTGTCACTGGAACAAGTGTGTTTAAATTAATCCAAAACTATCAGCTCAAAAAGTTTTGAAACTGCCCAGAAAGCCACAATGCCTCGAAAGTTGATTACTGTCTTTCTTAAAGACAGGGAAAACGAAAAAAATCTTCCAGCCATCATGAAAGATTCCTGAATTTAACGAGTGGTTGAAGATAAATGCTAGATGTGCGTTCAGGACAGTTTTTAATCACTACAAATGGAATTTAATCAGGGTCAATACTGGAAGCATTTTGTATGTGAAGACCTGCCCTTTGGACGTCATCTCTCGATACAGGTGAATGAGATTCAACAGCTGAACGTATGGGAACCTCACTTGCAGCATTTGAAACGTGTTCGTCAGAGGTGGTGCATTGAGTTCAATATTAATCAGAGTTACATTTTCCTCGTGTGTGCAAAAATGTGCTGCCGAGGCTCTCAACAAACCGTCTCCCGTCGCAACGAAAACAACATGTGACGAGCGAGAAAGAGACACGCGAGAATAAGATACGAGCGAGAAACAAATGCGACACCCAAAAATCCTAGCGTGTGCGAGGCTCGCGCTGATCTCATGTGCCTCATCTCATGTGCTACGATTAATGCTAGAACTGCAGAGCTCGAAGTTCTTAAAGGTTCGGTTGCTTTGACCGACATTTCATTTGCGTTTGCACAAACCATTCCTATTTTAGAGGAAAGGTAGCATATAAAGTGCTTAAATTCTTGAAATTCTCTAATAGCAAAAGCCATTAATTTGCCGATCAATTAGAATATTCTTTGTTTTTTTTCCGGTTTAACACTTAACTGCACTTGTATGACTAACATTTTTTGACACGTTATTTTCAAAATATTCAACGTAATTTAACAATTCATCGGAAACACAACTGGTATACATTGTTAGATGGGATGTTACGTATTTTGAATAGATTTTATCGGAATGCTACTAATGCAGCAATGTTATGATAATTCAATGGGTGGAAGAATTTTTTGCAGACCATTTTTTTCTTGGCGTATTACCTTTACACTTTCACTTGTACTTTGTTACCATTACTTTAAAAATGTTCGATTTTTTTAATGTGCCTCATGTGATCGAGCATTAAGATAAATTCTATAACAGAAGTGGTGACCCACTGGGTGATGGCGCGATATGCTAAATAGGTGCAGCAAAATAGTGATATGAGAGGCCATCGTTGACTTTAACTCAGATGAACGTGTAGACCAGTGCAGTGATATATTTACCATTCCAATTATTAATATCACCAAGTCTACCGAACTTCTGATCTGTTCCTTCAAATCGTTTTCTGGTTGGCACGGTACGATCTAGGTGGCTTCTGCTGATGATTGCTCTGAGGGTTTCGATGGCATCGTTTTCGCGTAGATGTCCGTAATCGCTAAGAAGAAATAACCTTTTCGGTTAGATAATGGGCGACCTTGCCTTTGTATACCAACAGTGTCAGAAGGAAGCGCCTGAGTATCGGCACCAATTCCACAAAGTGACCACCAAGCGCCACCGTCTCGCTACAACAAACCAGAAAGTGGTACAGCCATTGCTACAACCTGCAACAGATTAACCAATCAAATCACCATGTTGCCACCATGTTGCCAGAGTGTATGGTTTAAATTTGGAAAATACAGTGTTGAAAGTTGATCTATCCATTTGAAAAATTATGATATTCAAAAACTTAAGCACATTCTTATATCATCTTTTTTTTTAGCAACTCGCTAATTCAGATCCGAAGAACATCAGCAAATGCTGATCTTTTAAAACTTCCTGGCTGTCTAGGGAGCATATCTGAAAGAATATCCTGTTACTTATGCTACGTTTCCTGAACATGTACAAAATTTCCTTAAGTTTTAGAAAATTTACTCAAATTTCAAAGTACCTTGAAACTAAACGATGGTCCAAAATCTTCATCTTCAGGAAGTTCATTGACAAACTTCTATGAAGTTCCTTAAACTGAAACGAAGATCCCTGAAGTCTTCTATCTTTACGAAATTCCCTGAACTTTTTCAAAATGCCCTGTACTTCTATGAAGTTATACGCAGTTCCTCGAATTATTACGCAGTCCACAAAACTTCATCAAAGCTTGCTTCACGTCTACGTTTCCTGTTGACTTTCCGCAAAGTTCGACGCACGAAATTTCCTGAATTTGTGCGGAATTCTCTGAACTATGTCAAGTCCATGAGGTTTCATCAAAGCTCTGAAGTTATAAACAAGGTCCCTGAATAATAAAGAGGTTCCCTGCCATTAAACAATAAACTTCTACGAAGATACCTAAACTTGTACAAAGTTCCCACTTCTACGAAGTTTTCTGAACTTTTCCATGATCTCAGAACTTCAAATAATTTCACTAAATTTAGCTCATGATTCATCTGACATATGTTGGTCTTAATGCATAAAACAAAATATAATAATAATACCAAAGAAACATTCAAAATCAGGACAGTGTTCTAATGAAAACAGTTAACGAAACATTAGAGTCAAACAAAGCATAAGTGTTACTAATCACATTAGCGACAGTATGAATAGCCTCATTCAGCCCATACTGTCAATTACGAGCTACGAGGTGTATGAAGTGTCGTTGTCTTATAACTTTTTCAGGTACGTAGAGGAAGAGCTACCGAAGCAGTTCGATGAAACTCCACGAAGTTCACTGAAGCTCGGTGAGCTTCTATAAAGTTAGCTGAACTTTAAAGAAAAGTCTGCACTTCAAGAAAGTTTCCTGAACTTTTAAAAAGTTCCCTGAAGTACCACGAAGTTTCTTGAAGAACTACAAAATTCCTTGCAACTCGGATAGCAGTTCGTACCCTGGTGTAGTGGCTGTAGGTGCATTGTCAGACAGCACCAGCAAATCAACAGAGGAAGTGGTAGAGGTGCTGCATGAAGAGGTGGTGATAATGGACGTGCCCTCAGGAGGCCGATAAAGCATGCAAAAACGAACATCAGCATCCTCGGCAGAAAGGGATTGCGGGTCTGTCGAGATTCGATGCGTTGCAAGTGCACAAAAAATATAGTAAATCGATTTAGATCTCCATTGTAATATTTGTTTAGTCCTTCGGCTCCGCAAAGCTTTCAAAGATATTGAGCCCACTAAATAAACATTTTGGAAAACATAGTTTTCGATTCAGATACTGACCGTTGAGTGTGACAAATATGTTGGATTCATCCCAAAATTTACAATCCAGTTTTCTTATTTCTCATCATATTTTCAAGTTGACTACTACTTGGGACGAACACACCATGCTTTTTGTCTAAATATATTTGAACAGTTCTCAAATTTAAGTACATGTTTTAATTTACAAGTGATGCCGGCTACAGCTTGGAAGGCTGAAAATACTGATGGATGAAGTCACACGAATCAATTTCAACAACGAAGCTTTTTTAAAGGGCCCTCCGAACTATTCGTTCTCTGCCAGCTGCAAAATACCTATCAATTTGATCCACCAAGATCAATCGGATCCAAATCAGGCTGATCAATATCCCAAAATTTGAGCTAATTTGGTGGCGAACTGATTCTGCACTGGCTCTTTGAAGTTTATATGGGAATTACTATAAGAAAAGTGTATGTTTTGTCCTCATCGTTCTAGCCCTGCACCATAATGATTTACGGAAAAGTTATCCATTAGAGCCCTCCCCCTCCCCCTCT